ATTATCCAAGGAGGACTGATTTTGGCGGCTAAAATCGGTCCCCCGGACTAGTAGTGGCGACCAAAATCAGTCCGGGGGACCGATTTTGGCCCCGACCAATTTTTTCGTGTTTTTTTTTTTTTTTTTTTTTTTTTTTTTTTTTTTTTTTCGTTTTTTTTTTTTTTTTTGCATGCTGCGATAGCATTTGCCATGAATAATATTCTTGATAATAATATTCTTTTTATCCTAAAAAGTACCTCAGCCGGCGACTCGCTGGAGCAATATGCACGTCGTGAAGGTACCTACCTTTGAAAACCGTCCAGGCTTTATTGACGCTATCCATATAGGCCTAACTCGCATTACAACCAACATTATTTTGCAACATCTATGATTTGACTTGACATCAACAAGGCGAGGCCTTACTCAATGAGTGCACTGTCGTCTCGCTATCTCGATAGTTGTAAACAAACACAAATAATCTGATTGTAATCTTACCAAAGAAAGGTGATTTAATTGTTTGTGACCACAGATGAATTTCCCTGCTCTTTAAAACTAGGAAGATCAGGAAGAATCTTATTGAAAAAATTAGAATTGGCGTTCACGAAATACCACCAAAAGAACAAGCTGGATACAGACGTAGAAGGTGAGGGGGGTGGGGGAGAGGAACAAATTTTCATATTTAATAAAATATTATAGAGTAGTCTCTAGAATAGAACTCACTATCTTTGAATTTCATCGACTAGAAGAAAGCTTTTGAGAGTATCAAAAAAAGATTTTAAAATTGCACAACCTACCATATATGTTAATAAACATAATATGTAATTGGTATGATGACAGCCACAGTGCTGTTATTTCAGATGGAAACCTTAGAGATTGGTTTTAAGTACATACCAGAGTAAAACAAGGATATGTGCTCTCTGGATTTCCTTTCATTATTGTGATGCATTGGATAATGAGAAACACCATTAATTAAGAATGAGAAAAAAAATGTGGTGTAAGTTTGATATTTACCAGAACAATAAAAAAATGATTTATGAGGCCTCAATCTCAGGATGAGTAGAAGCGAGCGGTAAGGTAAAGTTAATGGCTAACCGTCATTCAATACATTTTTTTTTATGGTAAAAACTTTGGTTAAGTGTATGCAGCAAGAGGTTGAGGAATTAGAAGTGAATTGTTGAATGTAACAGTGATTTTTTTTTTATTTTGTTAGACAGTTGTTGGTTCCACAGAAATTACTTTCGACATTGTGTAGTAGTTGTGTCATGATAAGTGGGCTTATCAAGGGATCCACCGGTCTCTGTCTAAACGTCGATGTTACTTGCCGGAATGACTGAGGAGGTGAGGCTTTACGTTTCTCGTTGTGCTTGCTGTACACTACCTCCGCCTACATCGAACCACCACTTACACATTTGTTTGCTTTTTGTCCTCATTAAACTTTAGTGTTTAATTTTTGAAATTAGATTGAGACGAAGCAGGCTACGAAGATGGTTTTGGTTGTAACAGAATAACGTTTGCTGAAAATTTTCCTTATATAGCTGTCCCATGAAGAAACTAATCTTCAGTAACCGTTGCTAAGATTTAAAGAGAGTCGTGGTTTGTACACCGTGGTGTTCCAGCTCGGTTGCATTCGAATCAAGGAAAGTCTTTTGAAAACGGTCATGAAATTTGTAAATTGTATGATATCAGTGGCAGATCTAGGATCTAGGGGGTGGGGGTGGTTGAATAGGGTGGCTAGCCACCCCTTCGGCGACCTCGAAAAAAATATAGTCACTCCTCTTGTGTGTGTGCTTCTAATGTATACATGTTACATGTAGCAGGCTATACTCTCGTAAAACATACACTTTCTATTTTAAGTTTAACTTCTTTTCAGATGTCATCCAAGAGCCTCTAGCAGTCTACTAATTTCAAAAAATTTCAAATGGAAGGGGATGCCTCTCCCTAAAGCCATGATCAAGGAGGGACAGGGAGACACGTCCTAAAATACTGTTAATGGAGTTGAGGTCGGTCCCTTACTTTTCGTCCGCAATGTAATAATTTCATAAGATGGGTCATTCAAAAATGACCCAGGTTTTAACGAAAGTGTGCTGTACAACCGGTACTCTATCTCTGCCCACAAACATCTCACTTATAATAAACGACTCTTGTGCGCGTGCCTTTATTATAATTTGAGATGTATGAGAAAAAGCGTGTAATAGTAATAATAATAATAATAATAATAATAATAATTGATTGGTTTTCGGCACATGGTAAAGTAAATTAAAATTATATCAATGACAATTAAGATTTATTTTCAATGGAAAATCACAGCGATTAATTTGATCGATGATAATGAATTCGATTATTAAAAAAAAGTGTTATTTCCGGTAATCTAGAGGTACTATTTCCCCAAATGTTCCCACCTCAGCCCTTGTGTGGACTAATGGCTTTGAAGTAGGTAGGCCTAAATTAAGTACATCAAAGACAATGTTTTTAATTATTTATTTTTTATAGTACATTACACATGTTAATAAAATATCTAGGTTCTATGTTGTTGGCGCTTCACTTTTTCTATATTATGGTGATGTGATGACGATGAATTTTACTATATAAAAGTGTCATTTCCGGTCATCTAGAGCTACTATTTCCTAAATATTTCGTACCTCAGGCTCAGCCATGGTAGGCCCGAGGTGGGATGGACTCATAAAATGTCCCCCTCAACTTTCGAAACAGATCTGCGCCCTTGTCAAAACCACGCCCCCTCTACCCTGCCTGGTGCTTCACAAATCGCATTAACTACCTCGCATTGCTAAATCTTAGATCCGTCACTGGACATAAATAGTCTCATACTACAAGTTATTATCTGTGGAAACGGTTAGTTTGAACGTTTCAAGGTTTATGTGTGGTATTGCGGTCTCTGTATCCTAAAGAACGCAAGAGATGGCCTGAATTAATTCATTCATATTATTGTTTTCATGTATAATTCTACATAGTGGTTACACCGTATTTATTTATGTTTGGTTGTAAGTTTTTTTGTCTTTCAATTTACAGTTTTTCCTGAAGAATGACTGGTCAGCGTATTACTTGCAGCAAGAAGCAAGGTTAATGAAGAGAGCCTATGAAGTAGCATCATCTAGATTGAAGCAGCGGCTGATCGAGAGGAAAAGAACATAGTGCTAAGCTTCCTATAGACGCTATAAACTTTGGTGATTGTGTATTACTTCGAAAAGAAGCATTTACAACACATCATAAACTTGTTGACAAATTTCATGATTTTTCTTATATAATTAAATCTATTAATTTTGTTGGTGATATTCATCCAGCTAAGTGTGCTTAAGCATGTTAACAGGCGGAAACATTTTTTTAATTCAGAAGTTGAAAGCAAGATTGAACCGGAATGTCAGCCATTAACAGATGTATTGACATTTTAATTTCAGGGAGTTCTTTTCAATGAGAGAGAATCAGATGAGAGTTAATCAGATGAGAGGGATCACATCAAAAAAAAATAATTGACTAAAGTTGTGAGCGTGGAGTAATAAAATACTGAAAGTTCTCCTTTGAGAAGATAAACTCGTTCTACTTACGGTACTAACGGTATTAATACCGGACCAGATACCGCTAACGGTTAGCGCTAACCGATCGGGCGGTTTAGGGCGTTTCAATCACCAACCAATCACACGTACGCATTTATAATTTCCAGTTTCTTATTGGCCAGTGATTCAATCATCATATTGTTGGTATCCGGATCGGGATTTTTTCGCAAGGACGCACGGCAGCTAACGGTTAGCAGGATCCGGATGATAGAAACGCCCTCTTGCTAACCGATAGCGCTTGCTAACCGTTAGCGTATCCGGATACCGCTAACGGTTAGCGCTAACCGATCGGGCGTTCTCACGCAGGTGATCCCGATCCGGATACTAGGGCTCTCGTGGGAACCAGGCTTATATACAAATACAGAACAGGTGTTCTGTATTTGCATATTCATGCCAATACACATGTGTTCGCAATCGCGGTATATATGGTTTTGCAGGCTCTTGCAAAGAGTTTTTCAAAGGCCTAGTTCAGATTAGGTGGGTAAATCCGGCTCAACTCACCGGGTTTATCCACGTGCCAGACTGAACTAGGTGGCTTACCTCAAGCCGGGCTGTGTTTCTATTGTAACTAGGCCTGGCGTGCCACCGTGTTTAACTTTCCTAAGCCGGGCTTTAATTGCTGCGGGGGGTCTTGCATTGACTTCCGGAAAAAAAAATGACCAATCAGCATTCAATTACGTACGCTGTGAGCGATTGTACGTTACGAGCCCAATGTTTCCAAACTCGTTTCCTGGTTACGGTTCATTATGCTAATTCTCATGCCTGGTTAATCCTGCTAGTCTGAACGCCCGGCAAAGTTGAGCCGGGCTTAACTCAAGCCTGGCTTATCTCCAAGTCTCAACGTAGCCATAGTTTCGTTTCAAGCTCTGCACACGGTATTTTTGCTGTTAGTATTAGAATATACAGTTCTGAAGTCTATTATGTGTAAGTGTAGGCGTAAATTCTATTCTGTCATCTGTTGTGGTTTGATAATAAATGGAAAATATTTAAAAAAAAAGACGGTTCACTCTTCCTTGAGTGGATAAGACTCAACACTAATCACAGGACACCAGATGACTGTATCGTTCAAAGTTCTATTCACTTATAATCAAGAGAAACAAAAATCCATGTTTTGTAAATCCTAAATCATTATCTAAACACTGCATTTTTGACAATAAGTAACTGAACAGCAAAACATACAACATGCAACTTATCTTCTTTTAATTATTATAAATAATTGTTCTTCTTATCGAAACTATCTTTCCAAGTACTAGAGGGTAAGCAACCATACTCGCGCAAAAAAGCGCAAGGGAGCTTAATATATATATATATATACCGGTATATATATATATATATCTGTCTCTTATACACATCTAGATGTGTATAAGCCAAATACGTGTTAAAAATTTAAACATTTAATGTCCAATGAAATAAACATAGTGGTCTACACTATTAGAAGCCGCTTACAGTGGTTTAATCAAAGTCAATTTCCTTGTGGTCATCTTCATCGATGTCAGGATCAGGATGTACCTTCTCGTCAACTGAAATATATTCAAATGGATTTAATTCATTGGCCTCGCCTTCCATTAGCTCGAGATGTATATGCCATAAGTATTTTATCATGTCGATTTTAAATACTGTAGTAAATCCAAAATGATATACAGGTAGCAATAAAACAGGAACGGGATTCTAATGATGCACCAAAACTGAACACGATGTTAAACTTAATGAAGACCGACCAACCGAGAGATGGATGGATGGACAGATCGACCGATATTACTGAGAGACTAATATTTGATGCATCGGACAGAAAATTAGGTCGTGATGTACTGTGCTGTATGATTATTTTTTTTAGGAATTTAGGGGTAATTATTCAAAATTACCAGAGGCCCTTATTCAAATGGCGCTTAAGAAAATTTTCGCGTTATTGGGTATCGAGCAGGGACGTATCCGGTGGGGGGGGGGGTGGTTGCGCGGATCACCCCTCACCCCTTTGTACACAGTGTTTAAATTGTAAAGCTTGTATTTGATAGCCAATATAAATTTTTTCCTGGGATCATTCAAAATGAATACTTTTAAAAACATTTAATAAGTGTGCATCAGCACACGTTACAGGCCTCATAGGCCTACTATAATTGTACACATAAGCCTAAGTGTGATTTAAAAAAATCTTAAATCCATAAATCCCAGGCCAGGTCTTTTTAAGATACAGTACAGAAATGTGGTATTGTATGGTTCAATTTGGTTTTTATCTTTTTGCAAGCTTTTATAATGAAAATTGTGATTTATTAATAATAATAATTATAGATAGTTAAATACTGGATAGTTGGCCTGGATATTAAAGTTGATCCCTGATAAAAGATCATGATAAGTTTGATGGCGCTTCATTTTTACTATATAATGGTAATGTGATGATGATGAATTTTACTATATAAAGGTGTCATTTCCGGTAATCTAGAGGACCGTACTACTTTTCTCAAATTTTCGCACCTCAGCCCCAACCATGGTGGGTGTGAAGTGGGTGAAAATTAAAAGCCCTCCCTGTTGATTTATTATATTATTAGACTTACTAATATATTTATGACGCGTCTATTGCAATTTTCACCTTATCCTCTCAAGACAGTCCTAAAAAAGTTCAGAGTGCGCTACTTCCCAAAGGGCTTCGCACCTGGGCCCCAACGCACAGTCGGTCCATAGGGCGAAATGAAAGTGTGCACAAAAGTCCATTTTAGTTACTATGGCTTTTACATTTTTTTTACATGATTGAATAAGTGTATACCCTGGTGAATCTATCCTGAAAATATTTTACATTTAAACGAATTTTAAGGGTGGTATTTTTTCAACAAATGTCGGAAATTTCTCTAAATATTTCAAATGCTATAATTGACTAAGTTATATCAAAACAAACGACTGAAAACATTTTAAAAAATCTAATTTTAGAAAAGTAGGAGGGAAAGTTTCGATTCATGTGGATTCATGCTTTAATTTTTACATCACCATCTTCAGTATAGTCTTAGCTTTATGTTGGTACCAAATTTAGCTGCAACTTTTTGCAACTTTGCGAGCTAGACGCACTTTTATCGGTCTTGTTTTCGTACATTTGTGACACAATTTGATTAGAGTAAACCTCAGTATCAAATTTTCCAATATTTTGTTGCTGTTTAGAGTAACTTTATTATATTTTGAGCAGTCTAATAATCAAAATATCATGATGAAGATGATATCTACAAGCAGGCCTATATCTAGGCGTCAATTGTTTTTAACTTTATTTAAAGACATCCAAGACTGTGAAAAGCTTCCTGTTTCAACTTAAAGAGAGGTGAGCTACTACGGAAGTAGAACGACCTTCCCGGAAAACAATACTACGTTATGATAACGTGACAATAACGTTACAGCTTTGTGTTGAAAACTTTATTTTGTAGAACCATAAATACGTACTGAACATAATTTCACAACGTTTGCACGTTCCTACAACGTTTTGTAAACGTTATTTTGTGACATACCTAACTACAACATTCGCAACGAACGTTATAAGAACGTAAACACGTGTTTACTGGGTTTCTAAAAAAAGTAACTCGTGGCTTGACAACAGGATTCCATTTTCGGATGAAGTTATTAATGTTTTGACACAGAACAGAGATATTCTTTCCACACCAGCAGAAATCCCACAAGAGACTTAAAAAATAACCCAAACCGGGACGTCCTATCGAAGTATGGGAGGGTCCTTCAGAGAGTTCGCGAAAGAGTAAAGTACAAGAGATGCTGACATAAAATGTACGCACTGAACATCTTTATGCAGCATTGCAAGGGGCGTTCAAGAAGAATCGATTTTAGTCTTCTAATAGGGCCTATGTAGAAAATACATACACATTTTATTTCTCCCCGACGAATTTTAGTATTTCTCCCCGACTCCGGGGGAAGGGTGGGCAGCACTCATCGACGGGGGCCCTGCCCACCCCTCCCCCGCTGGCGTCACCCCTGAGGCGCAAACCTGAATCGTTCACGACAGATGAGGCACTGTTTATATTTGTAGCGCCATAATAAAATCGGACTCTTCCTTACACCAAAATAAGAGTAACAAAAAATCCTGATGTCAAAGAAGACAGCAAGAGTTCCTCTTCAAAGCCTTCTCGTTCACACAGAGAATTATAAAAACATAATTATAACGACCATTACAACATAGGCCTATGATCGAGGTAGGAAATAATATTATATCATGACATTGGTGTAGGCCTAATGTCTGACTATTCCATGGAATCTCTCATATGCAAACACATTTTACACTTTAAAAATGTAAAATTAGGTTGTCTGGTATTATTATGAATTTTTACTTCGATTTCGATTTATTTAAAAAAAAAACATTTATATTCAATGTAAGATTAACAATAGAAATTTTAATGTTGGCCTATGCCTAAAACACTTAGCCCCGTCTAATCAGAAAAATGTGTTTTGATGACGTCATGGAAAGTACAAAATATTCCCAAAAAAGTTCTTTTGTCCCAAACCTATTTAAAACATTAAAAAGAAATCATTATAATAAGAACTTGTTTTGGTATTACAATGAAAACTGACATCGTCCAATCAGAAAACAGTACAAAAATGACGTCATATAGATTTGAAAATGCTTTTATTGAATTCTACGGGTATGCAAACCTCTATATAAATCTTATATTCACTTAGATTAGTTTCTGTAATGAGTGCAGTAATTAATTTTGGCACACTTTGACTTCAATCTGGCCCACTGTGTACCGGGGTGCTACTCACCTCGCATAACGGCTCCCCTCCCAAAATCCTGGCTATGTCCCTGTTGGGGAGGCTTATTTGAGAGTAGCAGTTATTCATTATTATTCGCGCGAGTAAGGTATGCACACCCCACACAAACAGAAACCCCTCTTGTATATGCACACAAACGCACACACACAACAACCGAAACGTATTTTACACAAATTAGCCTGACAAATTTAGGTATTATAGTAGGTGTATATGTATTGAATGAAATAAGCTGCAAAACCTACCTAATCTTTTGCAATAAAGATGAAAATACTAAATATGAGTCAACAAATTAGTTCTCACATAGTATTAACAACGCTTGGATACATATGACGTCACAGATACATTACAGGTCACATGCCTGTTACGTGTCAATTTTTCTATGACGTCATTTTGTCAGTTTATGTCGCCAATAGCAGGCATTCATAATGGATGCATTATTAGGTAATGTTAAAAATGATATACATATAAAATCATTACAACGCTTATTAATTATATATTCAAAATACAACACAAACTCTTAGACAAGCGTCAGTCTCAATGATAATAGGCCTACTAGTAATGGTGCTGGACAAGAGGTTTCGCATTTGAACGTGGTCGTAGCATAATGTTTTCCTTAAATTATAGATACAGTTAGTTTTCATTGATGATCGGTAATTTATCATTATGGACAGTGTCGATAGAAACATCTTCGGTTAATGTTGTGTGATGGACATTCGGCTCTGTTGAGAACGATTCGGTTATTACTTTGCGCTTTCTATAAACGAGCACCGATATCGTGACAGAAATGACCAGAGAAATCAGTAATAATATTGTGACGACAGCTATAGCTACTGTTTGGTAAGAAGCTGTTGAGAAGCCAAAAAAAAAAAAAAAAAAACATATTAGAAAGCAATGGCAGCTAAACTATATATTATGTTGCATCTGTTGCATCAATTGTTTGGCAGCGAAACTATAGTGGCATTACTATGCAATAATGTATTATTTAATATTAAGAAATCAAAGGCTCCAACAGTTAATTTACTCAGGTAGGTTGAAATTACTTATTTATTTGAAAACTAACGAGTACTTGTACGAGTACTTAATATATATCTGTCTCGCGCCCCGTTCGAATAAGCGCCCCGTTTGAATAAGCGCCCCTGAGAAAGTGCAAAAAAAGAATGTTTTAAGCGCCCGGGCGCTTATTCGCGCGAGTACGGTAAGCGATCTGAAGCGTAGGGAAATGTGTGATTAAAGATAAAGAAATACATTAGAAGAAATGGAATGCCGCCACAGACCTGTCTATAACACTATGTTTCACACAATCTGAAAATCGCATATTATGCGATTTTCAGATTGACTGAATCTTCTGTCTAATAGGCCACAATTATACCATTACTTAATGAGATTTACCACGATCAAGTGGGAAGAGATTTGTTTTTATTGTGATTAAATGTACTAATCAACTCATACATTTTATTCAACAGGTTAGCTTTATTTGCTTTGAGAGTGAAAAACTCTTTGACCAAACGGAGGCTGTGGCGCTGGGTTTCCCGAAAGCAGGGCAAAACCCCCGACAGGCAGGCCGGGGCAAAAGTTGTACTTGGCGCGTAGCGCCATCTGAGTGACGTAGGCCTAAGGTGGGTGAGAGTTTTGGAGAGTTGTCCCCCAGCCTAATGAGAAAACTTTTAAAAGTAATAAGCAGGTAGACGCTCATACAGGGCATCTTAGTCTAAGGGTGGTGTTTTTTCTATCGCATCGGCGTCCGACCTATTATTATATATCCATGCCAACATTTGATGTAAACGTTTTATATTATCATTTTTCCCCGACGAATCTCTCCGGTATTTTATCTCCTGGCTAATTTCCACCATGACATTCTTCACAACTTTTCTCCATGCCTCAAATATATTTTGAAAATCAGGGTTTACATATAAAAAAAAAAAAAAATATCTTAATTTAAAAAAGGAGGAGTGGATGGAGAATGAGGAGGGAGAGGAGGTGGAAAGGAGATCAAAAGCAACAACAACAGTAACAACAAAAACAATTAACAGGTGATAAATCAACGTATCAAAATTGTATTACCAGAAAATGTCCAATCAAATTGATCTGATGCTAGTTGAGCTATCTTGCACTTTCCTTGCTCTAGGTTACAGTCGTAATTCTGCAAAACCTTCAACTTAGAAGCGATGCCATCAATTGGCGGTGTATTTGAAGACACTGTGCATGGTGACGAGGATAAAACAATATCATCTAATGCAATATCCCCAAAGAAACTTTTTCCAACTTCCCCAGTGAATACAATCTATAAAATGGCATTATTGTAGTATACATCAGTACAATATTGAAACGGTTGAGTTACAATCGGGTACACTAAACGACAGAAAACCAAATCATTTAGACAACACTATAACATTAGTCTTCACCTTCATGAATGGCAACATGTATTTATTTTCTAGCTCAAAATAGATTCATTCCGTAGAGCGCAGACGTTAGCTATCGGGAGATATTCAGGCGGTACTGGGGAAGGACAATTCGATTCCCTGCTTCACAACAAAACATCCCTTCGTAGAAGCCTTAATAAAGAAAGCCTACCTAAAGTGGCCTAGACTGATACGAGACAAGCTAACTTCGGCTTTGAATATAGCAAGATTGAAACGTTAAATCAGTGGCGTATCTAGAAGCTGTCTCTTATACACATCTAGATGTGTATAAGAGACAGTCTTTATACTATCCGGCTTATGATCAGTTGAGGGGCGCTAATTCGCAAAATATGGTGATTTTAGGTGATTTTTAACTACTTAACCGTGATTTTTGGGGGCGACTGGGGGAGCGAGTAATTTTTTTTTGGGGGGGGGGGTTGTTTCACCCCACGCCCTCCCCTACATACGCCACTGAAACGTTTTAATAGAGCATACAATGTACACAGTGTTTCTAGTAAACATTTATATTAAGTAGGAATATATTAGTACTGTATTATTATTAATATTTGAGGTTATATTATATGCTCAGAATTTAAATTAAAGTATTTTATTTGATTATTAATAGGTTATGTGAAGAAATAGAATGTAGAAGAATAGGAAAGATACTCGGAGTAGGTCAAATCGGTACAGAAAATTATAATTTTTTAGAAACAGTTGTTTTTATACAACTGAAAATATAACTTTTCGTTCCTTACATATCACTGTTGTTATCACAACCTGACGATGATAATGATGATGATAATGGTGATGATGATAATGAGGAAGAAAAGAATAACAATGAGGATGATGATGGAAATGATAAAATATTCATAGTAATTATAACAATGACGATAAAAGAATGGACTTTTTTTTATATTTGATTACCGTATTTTGTATAAAAACCATGAAATAAGGAAGAAAAAAACAAAGGATGGTGTTGATGATAAGGATTATGACGACGACGGTATTATTGATAAGATTATTGACAATATTAATAATAATAATAATTATATATATAAATGCTGAGAGGCATAATAATAATATTTCATTTTTACAAAATTTACAAGCAATTGTCTTTTGAGGTGCTTGAGCTCTGACTACGCTTTTAGGTACATTGTTTTAAGGAAATTAAATCTTTGGTGTACATATTACCTGGTAGGATTCTTTAGCAGGCGATAACTGAATTCTAACCTCAGACCAAGTTTTCTCAAAGACCCTTGGCATTTGCCATAATAACTCTTTTGCATCTAGCCTGCGGTGGTAAACAATGAAGTTCCCCGAGAAGATGCTATCGCAATAATACCAAAACTTAAGGCATGCATCTCGCTGTATTTTCTTCCAGTATATGGTAGATAAACTGGCCCTATCGCCTGGATGCTGAGGCTGCGACGTTTCGATATACACGTACATGCCTGAAAGAAATTAATGAATAATATGTGAGAAGAAGAGGTTTCACATTTCTACTCTATCGATTTCCAATTATTATGGTAGTATTTGTGATGCTATTTCTAAGTAAGTTAAGTGTAACATCTATTTGTGCAAGGGTATTTTGTATTGATCTAGCTTTACGTGAATTATGATATTTATGTTTTAAAAAAAAGCCCCTCAACTGAACTAATCTGCCACAAGATTTACCACAGCAGGAGTGGCTCAGTTGTAAATGCCAACAATGAGCTGCACACCTCCAGTTTTGTTAAGTATTGTTTATATTGATAATTGGATAATTGGAATAAAAGTTAATTGAAAGTTTAACTGTTTGTTTTTATAAAAGTGAATAAATATC